ATGTGTACATGCATGCTTGCAACTGAAAATAACCCCCATGCCCTGGAGTTATTGTCAGCGTATTGGCCTGCGTGGGAAGCCATGGTTTTGAGAGTAACGGACTTGGCTTTTCAGGGTTTGGAAAACTCTTCTGTGTTAACATGTTTTTAAACTGTGTTAGAATACGTACATCATGTATTTCTCAGCTCAAATACCCTTTTAAAGAGAGTATTATGTCTTTGTACTGATCTTGTGACTCTGGCTTCAGCACATACAGCATAGCTAAAGAAAAAAATTATCAAATAGTTAACTGTTTAGCTGTTAAGAAGCTGTTATTAACATAAAGGTTTCTGGCAAGGACTAAAAAGAGAGTAAAGTAAAAGTAAAGCATCGTCTGCTCTGAGAAATAAAAAATACACTCTTGTTTATAAACACTATTAATGTTGAGTTAAATTTCAGTTAAAAATTACTTGAGAGAGCTTTGAGTTAGTTTTGTAGTCCTGATAGGGTGTAGATAGATAAATAAATAAAAATCTGCTGGGCACTTGCACAGTTTGGTCTATAGGAAGATCAGTAAACAAATATTAATTTCTTTTTGGACATAAAATCTGAGTTCTAAAAACTATTTTAGAGGTGATGAGGGTAAATACAACTTTAATTCTTAGTAAAATCTTGATAATTCTTAGTAATATTCCGGTTAATTCTTAGTAATATCTTTATATAAATACACGCATGACAGAGGAAATGAAAATTCAGTTTCCACTGACTCAAGGGACTCTGGGCAGTTAACTTACTCCCTGTGTGCCTGCCTTTAAAATGGGGTTGATGTAAGGTGTGCATTTCAGGATGCAATGGCAGGGGTTGGAAATGCAGCATGAATGAAGGCAGGCAGGAGTTGTGAGTATGATTCACTGTCTGTAAAATACCTCGAGGCTTTCAGAGGCAAGAAACTTCACAAATACAGAGTTCTAGTATTCCTGTTGAGAGTTGTAAACAAATGCTGTATTTCGTTGGGATTGAAGTTCTGAGTTCTTGATTTGCAGTGTCTTACTGACACTAAAGGTGAGATCTTAATGTGTTTTAAGAGGGACATTTTTTGTACAAATCCAGGCTATGACTTGACAAAAAAGAAAAAAATCTGATGGAAATAACACTCTTCAAATATAGGTGTCTTGTCAGTTTGAAGAGACCTTTCCAGTGTTATTCTAGACTGAAAACAAAAGCTGCTCTTCACAAAGCAAAAAATATTTTTTGTCTGCCAACCACTTCATCAGATCACAAAGAGTAGAATTTCAAGTTACTGTTTATTGAAAAGACTGTCAGGAAACGCTCAAGGAAAGGCAGTCTGATTCCCCCCTCCCCATTCTTCCCAAAATGATGAAGTTGTGTTGTTCCTTGAGGTGTAAGATTTAATGTGTTACTTACCTTTTCAGCAGGGAAAAATGAGTGCAGGCTGCAGTTCTTAGTCTGGCAGCAGCATTGTTCATTCAGGAAATTCCCCCCACATAGGGATAAACCAACTCTTTCTGTGTGAAAGCACTCCAGAATAAATCAGTAACTGGTATATATCTTGATGTGAAAAATGGGACATGGTTTTGACACAGTAGGCTTATTAAAAATTTGCAAAGAACTTGAGATATGTGTGTGACATTTTGAGTTGCAGGAGTTAAGGAAAGCTCTGTGTGTCTCTCTGTGAAGACTGCCTCCTTAGTATACCCCTTAAAATTAAAGACATTTGATTCTTCACAAAGATCTGTTTAAAACATTTCACATGTGTTTTTTCCTTCCTGAAGCTGAAGAAAGTGACCCAAAAATAAAGCACATTTTATATTTCAGATTGTTCAAAATTTTTATTTATACCTCAGGGACACATGTACTGCTGTCCTAGAGATGCTTCTTCTCCAGTGTTGCTAATGACCTGAAGTCTTCCCACCACCACCCCCCGGGTCATAGCAGTATCGATGTTTTATAACACAGGCAAAAGTGCTTTATACGTCCAGAATATGGCCCTAAGTGAGAACTGGCAGCGATGCTGAATGAATGATTTGCTTTCTGGAAAATAGCTTTCCCATATAATCTCTGGGAAGATTTTACAGAAGAAAAAACTGACTTTGTAACTTGGTGCAAGACTTGCTTGCAGTATAAAATTTGGTTTCGTGGTTTGACAGTTTTATTTGAATTATTTCACCAAGGTCACTTTTCTTTCTCCCTGTGAAATTCATTGCTGACAATAGTAGATGGGCATATCTCCAGTAGACTTAGAACGATCTATAACAACAGTGAATTCAGCACACAAAGTAGTACTGAAGTGTACTGTGTTTTGGGTAGAACATAACAAGAATTAAAAATAGAAATTAATGATGGCAAATTTGTTTTTATTTTGAGTCAGACTTTGTTCTCATCTCACTTGATTATTAGTTTAATTTACTGGATAAATTATTTGGTCTTGACTAATATTGACTTAGAAGTCTGAACATAGTGATTTGATCTTTTCTGAATTCTCATGCTCCCACTGTTGCTCCTTATTTTAGGTGTATCAAACTAGATTGAGTTTCTGCTACTCTTTCCTCCTTAACAGGCATTTTTTCTGTTACCGGCTGAAAGAATAATCCCCTTTCTTTATGTTTGAGGAGAAATCAAACTGGTTTTTAAAGTCTTTAACCCTTTCTAAAGTTGCTAGAGCAACTTTCTGTGAAAAGACACATGCACAGGAGGAAATCTTCATTTAACGTATTGCTTTGCTCCATTTTCCCTAAAATGTAACTGGAAACAGGGTAGGTTTTCTGGTAGCTATCACGCAGTGAAAGGCTTTCTTCTTGAATGAGTATTGTTACGAGTATCAGATGTTACTGAATGTTGGAACTTGTTTTGGGGGAAGAAGAAATGTTTATTCCATTCGAACTTGTTTTACCTGGCATGAACATTGCTATTGGAATTCATCTCAAGTACAGTACTGCTGCTCCTATGTGGCTGATGTTTTTCAAGGAAATCATAGGCCTAAAAATAGTCTGCATAAACAACAGTAAGAGGTTTGTACTTTCAGTTCCAGGTTTTAGCAATATCTTGTTGTTATTTTCTAATTGTCAGTTTCCAAAATCCATTAAGCTTATTAGCAGAGTGTTTAAAAACAAAACAAAAAAATAACACCCAAACCCAAAAATCCACCTCTTGCGGAACCTTGGATAAAATGTTATGCTTGGATAAACTGAGTACAGAAAGGCTGGGTCATTGTAGTAATCACCTTTATATCTTTGTGAACGTGTCACGTTCTGAACGTTTTTCAAACATCCTCCAACTTGTGAAATTGCCACGTGATTCTGGAACTGGTTTTAGGGGAGAATATAATGCGGCAACACTTGTACTAGTTGGAATTCATGATTGTTGTACATATTTAACATCCTCTGTGTACTGAACAAAGAGCTTTACTTCTTTTCCTTTGGATTAAAAAAAAAAAGAAAAATAAAATTGCTTAACAGCCTGGAAGAGATGTGGAAAAAATCCAGCTTGCAAATTGCAGAACACAATTTGTCATCAATTTTATTCTTGTATATGTCTCCACGTCACCTTTAATGATAGAAATTGATCTTTACACTTTGTCTCATATTTTTAGTGGCATGTTTACTGGGATACATTTTAATGTGTTTAAAATCCTGTGATTCAGACTAAACAAAAATGACTTTTCATTTGTCTCTGAAACAAGATGGTCATCTAGTTCCTGATGAAAAGGGCATTACACTGAAGCTGCTGTTAAGATACAGTTGTTTTTCCTCCTTCCCCTGCCCTTCATTAGAAAGTTTTAGAAAGTCAGTTGGGAAGCAGGGGCTGAAACTGAGAGCTTAAGACCCTTAGTGATTTTAACGAGGGTTTGGTTTCCAATTTGTGAATCTGGAACGTGGCTACCTTTTCCCCCTTTTAAATTGTTGTCTGTGACTGTAGTTAATGCATTTCCAGCCTACTTACCAATGTGTAAGGATTGGAAGGGAAAACTCACCTTTTCTTTGTGATTTCTGCTTCTTAAAGAAAATTCATGCACAGGAACTGAAAAGGAGACTTAAAGTATATTGATTTTAAGACTGTGATTAATCATTAACGTTACAGGTAAATTTAATTGTAGAAGCATTGCTAGATCTCCTAATAATACTGAAATGGAAGATGTCTGAGCCATGGTGTAGCCCTGCTGCATCCTTGGTGTTGGACAGTGTGATTGGGGGTGCAAGTAGCATAAAACCTGCATCCTGAAGCTGCTGATCTGTGACGTCTTCAAGTCTCACAGTAACACCACAATAAAACAGAGTTAAATAAATTGGTTCCTTGAGATTTTTGCTCTTTGAGTTGAAGTGAAAGAAAATTAGGAAGTTACAGTTAATTGGTAAAAACATTTTTTTAAATGCCAGGATATCCTCTTTAGCTAATGCCTAATGAATTTGTATAAAATATATCCTTTTGTACCCATTTGGCCTACTGCTGCTACTTCTCCAGAAAGTAAACTGAAAAACTGGTACCAACAGTTGACAGAAAAATCAGTATTCCTTCTCACTTAACTAAACTTGTAAGGAAATTGGTTTAGGGTTTTCATTTATTAAAAGAATTATAGTAACAATAATTTTTTTAAAAAAATAAACTGCCTACATGTAATTTTCCTGAAAGATGATTCTTTGAGTCATTGCTTTACTGTTAGCAGTAGCAGATTATATTGTAAAATTTATACAAATAAATCACCTAAATTAAACTACTTGTATGTTTGTTAGTGGACGGAGCAGAGTGGGAGGGTGTTGGAATAAGATTACTAGACCTGATTAATAAAACTGTGGATTTGGCCCTCTGCTGGGTGGTGCTAGGAAATGCATGGTTTACATACTAGCGCACGTACGTTGAGCAGTTTTAAGTTTATTCAGCGTTTTGAGAATCTGACTGCGCTAAAATATAATAAATCTTATCTGGGAACGTCAGTTACTAAAGCATTAGATAGTTTGTCAGATATGATACTGGAAAGTTACTCTTTCTTTCTTTCCTCTCCCCAGTTTTCTAGACAAGATTGACATAGTCAAACAAAATGAGTATACACCGTCTGACCAGGTAAGGAAAGTTTCATTAAGAAATTACACAGTTTATCTGCCCCCTCCATCTCTGAGGATAACCATCTCATTAGTTTTCTAATTGCCATTTGTGGCACTAATACAGGTATTACCACATACTGTACATATTTAGTATTGCAGTAAAAATTACTTTGTCATTTGGATTGAGATTAAGTTTATACATGTAAATGTACTGTGAAATTAAAATCTGCCTAGATTCAAGACTTAAATCATGCGTCTGTGACACTAAAACTCAAATATCCATTTGAAAGAATGATTTATAATGTTTTATCCTCCTTGCTGAATAACTTTCATGCACTTTCTTTGATGCAGAGTTGGTTTGTATGTTCTTAGCCTCCTGGCTCCCACTGTAAACCAGATTTTGTAAAAATAACCTTGTTATGAGTTTTTATTTTTTTATCAGAGTAAGAATAGTAGCTTTTATTTTGTTACAGCAAATCTGAGGATCTTTTTAGGACCAAATCCCTAATCCAAAATCACATGTATATTCCTAACTTTCTGCCCATAAATAATGCAGTTAAGCATCTAGTGTAATTTTATAGGATAAATAACCAAAAAACATGTTAATGTCCCAAAACTTCTGCAGAGATTATTCATGAGGAGAAAGCAGTTTGTATCCTTTAAAATAGTTCAGGAATAAATTAATCATTCATCATTTTTTAAATCTGATTTTTTTTTTAATAAATAAGGCTTTCTTATTACTGAAATAATTCCATTTACAAGAAACAAAATATTAAAAATACAGGTTATTATATTTGAAATTTGGAGGAACTAATCTTCAGATACGAAACTAAAGCAAGTATCAGTTTTGCATCAGAGGCTAGGGGTCTCCTGGAAATGTTACAATTTATCTGCTATCTAGACTTGGTGTGAAGAACACCAAAACTTAAGTCCTAAATTATAAAACCTTTAGCTGAAATCAAAGTGGTATTTTGCAGTAAATTGTATTTGGACTATTAGTCTGCAGCCTATGCAAATGAGCTTCTAGATCAGTTACCTACTAGGCACTGTATATGGCTGTCACTGCTTTGCAATGCATAGTAAATAAAAGCCAATAGTTCTGTTTTAACAGGATTTTGTAGCACTTACAACAATTTCAGTTGTTTGCAGCTCACAACTACTGATTATCATCTTTGTCTCTACAGCAGATTTTAAATTTTATCTTTGAAAAGCCCAGTTCTTGAAAGATTTAAGTGTTTAAACTCCTGTTCTTTGAAGGAAAAAATGGAAAATTCAGAGACCTAGACATTTCTTTTAATAACCAAGAACTAAACAGTTGGGGGAGAGATCTATCTTCTGGGGTTGGGAATTATTTGGTGGTAGTTTAAAGATCCTGTTTAGTGCCACAATCCCGCTGAAATCTGTGAATGCATCGTGTAATCTCAAGAGATGGGTCTGTGATATTCTGAACACTTGCGTGTGCTTTAAGTGGCCTGTAAACATTTCCTTCTATTCCAAGCTTGGCACTTACAACCTGCTTGTGAAATTATATGTACTTTAAAAGTTGAGCACACCCATATGTGTGTGCACATATTCAAGATTAAAACTTAAAATGCAGCTTCATAACACTGTTCCCTGTTTTTGCAGTACAGCATACACTGTCAGCACTGGGTACGAGGTTTTTATTTCTATTGCTGGGTGTGTGGTGAATTACAGAGTATCAGTGCTGAATCAGTGACTTTTCCTTTATGCTCTAGGATCTTCTCAGATGCAGAGTTTTGACATCAGGAATTTTTGAAACCAAGTTTCAGGTGGATAAAGTAAATTTTCAGTAAGTATCCTTTTCTTTTTTCTTCTTTTTTTTTTTTTCTTCACCCTTCTTTTAAAAAAAAAACAAACAAACAATGCAGTCAAATACCAGGGTAAATTGGAGGACAGTCTACCATACAGTCATTGAGACTACTGTATTTCTCAAGTTGATGTTTAGTAGAAAGCAAGTATTTGATGATTTGTTAACTTAGTAGTCTGGCTTTAAAAAGAAATGCAAATTGGTGTGCAATTTTCTGCTTTTAATTTAAACCACAAAGAACAAAATGTTTTAAATGTATTTTGACTAAGGACTTTTCTGAGTGTGTGATTCATTGATAGTGACATATTTGACCAAAAGCTTTGTACGTCTAAGTAACAGAAAATGCATGTTCTCTTTACTGTCCCAGGTTAGAAAGATTGCTTGACCCAAACAAAAACTGCAGAGTTTGTAATCTAGTCTTGTTGAATTTAGATCTGTGATACTTGTTTCAGCAAACAACTGGTTGTAGGACCTTTTTCAGTGTCATCTTGTAAGGGTGAGAATGAATCCGCGATGTACATGTGCCAGAATTTCTTACCTTCAAGTGTAGGTGGATTTTGTGATGAAAGCTCTGTGTGCGTATGTTGGGGGACTGTTACCTGTTCAGGTTCTCATAATCTTGCAATTCCTTTTAGGTTCTATGACATAGAAGTCCTAAACTTTCTGTTTGCCTTGGTGAAAAACTCCCACACAATATGTATTCTGACTCAATGTATGTTTTTTTCTTAGTATGTTTGATGTTGGAGGCCAACGAGATGAACGCCGAAAATGGATCCAGTGTTTTAATGGTATGATTAGAACTTACGCTTGGGGTTTTTTTTAAATAGTTCTCTGCAGAATTTTAATGGCCAATCTTAATTTTCTCACTGTGTGAAAACCATCTTCTTTTCCATGTAGCTTGATAAAGAATTATCTGAACAGTCATATGGGATGGAATTTTTCTTGACACATGAATTTCTGTAACAGCATAGAATATCTTTAGGGAGAATGTAGTTGGAAAAGAATTCAAGTTCGATAACTTAATATAGCCTGTCCATTTTCTTCAACTTCCCTCTCTTCATTTCATTAAGTTTTTTTGGTGGTAGGTTCGTGGATTATTTGCCAGCTATTTGAGTGTTAGATTCCAAGCTATATTTTGTCTTCCAAGTGATGGTTTACATATGTTTATACCTATAGAAAATAGACAATTACAGGATAATTAATATATGCATAAAATCAGAATATCATTTTTTTTGTGTGTAATTGCAGCCACATTGTTATGTTATGGGTGCTTCTTTCTGAATCAGCACCGACCCATTGATGCAGTATGAGATTGTTGGGAACATCTGTCTTGTCAGACACATTGTCACATATGGCACGTAATACAGCACTGTACAGTGTAGCCTCAAAATGCCCTTGTCAGAAAAGTTGATAATGGAGTTTATAAAATCTTCACTTTCCTGGGGAACTATGCATATTAATACAATTTTGCAAAAAACAGCCCTAAGGGGAAGGCCCTTACTGAAAACATATAAATAAATACCTTCATTTAAGTAGCTTGCATATTAGCTAGATTTCTCAGAATGCTAACATAGTACCAGCCTAGATATGGGTAAGACCTGAAACATCTTTAGGCATTTTGTAAGATCTGAAGATAACACTGATGTCCCCATTAGTTTAGTTCAGGTGATTATTTTCTTATTCCCATACAGTTTAGATTAGGTAGTTTTGTGTGTATCCTTGAACTATTGCATGTACCTTCACTACAGCCGTTTCTTTTACTCTGTATCTCTGTTCAGATGTGACAGCTTTCTCCACACAAGTTTTCTTAAAGTTAGGGTTGGTGAAAATTTTTTTTTTCTTTTCTGATTGAGCAAAATATTTATGAAGCTATGCAAAAATCTTTATCTTTTTGTAGAAAATCTACAATGAAATCCTACAGAATAGATAAAGTAGAATGCAACTTAGAATTCATCGTATTTTACTATGGTTACCATCACAGAGTATCACCTAAACACTTTATGTATGTGTGGAACTACTGTGCAATATTTTCTTCTGTGCTATTAATAACAGATTTGTTTGGGTTTTATCTCTGCGCCTTCCGCTTCCTGTTACCTCATGATCTGACTCAGCTCTTCTGCTGTTGATGGCTGAGGTAGATGAGCCTGGAAGTCAGTGTAAGGGGTCTGGAGCAGCACAGCCCCACAGAAACACAGAGTTCTGGATTCTGTGATCCTGGGAATATCTCCCAGGAAAGAGATAGGGGCCTCTAAGCAGTATAGTACACTATAGGAGGACTAGAGCAATTAACCATGAATTCACAGCAATCCACTATTTTTATGATCAAAAGTGCCATTTGTCCCAAGGTCTTCCCCCAAGGGCCTCCCTGTCCTTTCTTGATAGTTCAGAGTTGCTTTCTATATTTCTTTACAGCTTTTACATCTTCTTTAAATTCTCCTCTTGGCTTTCTTCAGCTTCTCTCTCTTGCTTTTGTTCCTTTCTTTGCTATATTTTCTGTCATTGTCAGCTTCTGTTCTGTAGTCTGCCTATACTATTTTTAATAGTTTCTTCACTTTTATTTCTGGTACTTAGAAAGCTGTCAGCAATAGCATTCCAGCCTGTTCTTTTATTGAAGCTGAAAGTCTGGCAGCTTTTTATTGAACTTCAGGTTTCTTGGATATTTCCTCTAAAGTTTGGTATTAACTAATGTGTATTTCTTGATTTAGATGTGACTGCTATCATATTTGTGGTGGCGAGCAGTAGCTACAACATGGTTATACGAGAGGACAATCAGACCAATCGGCTTCAAGAAGCACTAAACCTCTTCAAGAGTATCTGGAACAACAGGTCTGTGAATTGAAGTTTCATTGTTCATACCACTTAAATTAGTAATCCTGTTTTACACTATAGCCAAGACTTCTGTACTGGGTTTGGCTAGGACAGAGTTAATTTTCTTCATGGCAGCTCTTATGTTGCTGTGTTTTAGCTTTTGACTGAAACAATACTGATAACGCACTGATGTTGTAGCTGTTGCTGAACAGTGTTTGCAGATCATCAAGGCCTTCTCTGTTTCTCACTCTGCCCCCCACAGTGAACAGACAGCGGGTGTGCGATAGGTTGGGAGGGTACACACGTGGGCAGATGACCCAAACTAACCAAAGAGGTATTCTGTACCATAAAATACCATGCTTAGCAATAAAGGGGAAAAGAGAGGGGTTTAGGGGGGTTAGCCATCTTGCTGGGTATTGGTTTACTCATGGGAGGTGGTGAGTGATTGCCTTTGCATCACTTGTTTTGTTCTGTTCTCTTCCACTTATCCTTTACTCATTAAACATTTTTTTTTTTAATCTTAACCCTCAAATTTTCTTACTTTTACTCTTCCTTTCATCATCATCTGTCCCACAAAGGGGAAAAGTGAGCAAGCAGCTGTGTGGTGCTTTGCTGCTCACCAGGGTGAACCCACAACAGCAGCATACATGGACTGCACTGTGAGATGCAAATAACACAGGCTAAGTCTTTGATCACAACTGCCTACCTGTTACATTAATGTCTAATACACTCACCTAATTGAGGAAAACTCTGGAGAGTTACAAATTACTAGTTGCCATACTGAGGCTGAAGTAATTAAAGCAGTGACAGAGTAGCCGCACTAAAAAGTGGATATGCTCACCTATTTGATATGTTTGGATTAGCAGTAGAAAGTGGGCAACTTTTGTTGCCCACGTTAGAAGCACAGAAACCAAACTCCAGGTGTGTATGCCCAGAATTACACCACTGGATTCCAGTGAAAAAGGAACCTTTCAAAATCATTACAGTTTGTCATGTGACTGTTGTCTCCAGAACTGGGTTAATTTATTTTTTCTGTATGGTCCTATCTGTGCCTTCTCAGTGTTTGGTTTCAATTTTTCAATAGGTGGCTACGGACCATTTCAGTAATTCTTTTCCTGAATAAACAAGATTTGCTAGCAGAGAAAGTTTTGGCAGGGAAATCTAAAATTGAAGACTACTTTCCAGAATTTGCTCGCTACACTACACCAGATGACGGTAAGATTTTTAAGTTTTACTAGCAATTCATCATTTCCTTGTTAATCGTGTTTGTAATGTTTTTGGTAATTTCAGCTAAGACTTAAAAACTCCTACATAGATGTAATCTTCATTGTCTTTCACCCAAACTGTGATAGTAAATTCTAGGTATGAATAATGAAAGAATCCTGTCTTTTATACATGAAATTTATTAATATAAACTAATCATGCCAAAATCCTGTTACTTTGCTGGTGTAGACCATAGTACAGCTCATCACAAATATGTCCTCTGGATTTCCCCTAGTCATATCTGTAGTAATTTTTCTAACCTGACAAATCCCTGGTACTATGACTGTTGTGATATTCCTTTGTTCTTCTGAAATCTTGCTGGTTTATATAATATATTATGGTTTGTCCTATCTCATAGTCAGTTTTGCAAAGCATGTTTCTATCATATATGAGCAGAAAACAGAACAGGTTATGATTTTTTAGGCACTATCATCTAAAAACATCTGTTTTAATGAGATACTTATTTTATTATTAATCAGCAACACCAGAGCCTGGTGAGGATCCCAGAGTTACAAGGGCCAAGTATTTTATTAGAGATGAGTTTCTTGTAAGTATTTCGTTTCTTTCAGTATTTCTTACATGATTCTTCTCAAATATAAGCTCTTAAACACCTTCTATACTTGCAAAATGCTGTCAGGTTTTGTGTTGTTTATATTTAACATCCACACTGCATAAAACACTGCTACACTGAAGAGCTTTACTGCTGTCAGCTGTCTTCAGGTGTGTGTTTGTTGACACAGTACATAATTAAATAGCAAAAGAATTGGTGAGAGTTAAGAAACCTCCAATAGAATGATGAGTGAAGTCCTGCTGTTAGTAATGGGGCCAGATTTTTATTCTGTGCATTATTTCCAAAGATAAAGACTAATCAAAAGATGCATCATTTTGTAAAATATTAATGTTCTTTTCATACTATCTTTCCCATTACTAGACAGCTGAAGCTGTAATAGACATAGATTTTTATTTTTAAAAAAAATATTATTACAATTACTTGTAATGGTGAGCATAACAATCAAATTGTGGACCTGTTTTAAATGGAGTGAACTAAAATTTTGAGGGATGCTTTCTATAAGCGTAAACTGGGGATAAAAGCCTTGTACAAGGAGGCAAAATCTCACTTTCTTCATGGGCAAACTTAGTAGGAGTTGTGTGCCTAAATTCATCAAAGCTGCAAATAAATAATAGCACTTTCTTCAGTTCTTGTTCAACTTGGAAATTCCCCAGCATGCAATGACCTTCTCACAGTATAATTCTGATAATTTTAAATTTCATATTTTAGGTGAGTGTGTGAAACATTGTGGGCATTTTGCCACTTAGTTGCACCCTTTGAAAACACAACTCACACATATCTTAACCTTCATTCATCTGAGTTTTGAGAACATGGGGGTTTTTTCCCAGTCAGTTTTATTTTAACCAAGTATCTCTTGCTTTTAACAGAGAATCAGCACAGCAAGTGGAGATGGAAGGCACTATTGCTATCCTCACTTCACGTGTGCAGTGGATACAGAGAACATCCGGAGGGTTTTCAATGACTGTCGGGACATTATTCAGCGCATGCACCTTCGCCAATACGAGTTGTTGTGATGGAGAGCACTTTTTTCTGTGTTTTGGACTCCTTATTCCTTATTAAAAAAAAAGAAAAAAACCACCCTTGCCCACATAGGGTGGAAGAGAACTGTTTGAATCTCCCATTGATTTGCACCCCTCAACTTTTTCTCCTTGCTGGACAATAGCAGCACTTCTAAGCTTGCTTCTGTACCCCTCGGACAGTTTGAGATGGCCCCTAACACTTAAAAGGCCATTTCCATGAGGATTCCTTAACACTGTTATTAACAAAAAAGAAAAAAAAAAAAAAAGGAAATAAAAACTAATTAATTAAAATCCCTGAATGTGGAGCACCTGAAAGAATTGGGGATAAAAAAAATTTAAAACATAAAACAAAAATTGGGGAGAGAAAACTTTAGGTAATTTAGCACTGTTGTGGGCATAATCATATAACCCGTGATCTCCACTTTGTATCATTCACTGCATCAGACTAAAGAAGGTGCCAAGTCACAGACCAAGTTTGAAGACAGACACTTGAGTTTGGTTCTCTGACTGTAATGTGGCTTTGAACGGAAATACTGACAATTCTACAACAGACCTAGACAGTGCAAAAACCAACTGCTACCTTTCAGAAGGGTATTTTTAAAACCAGTCTTGGTGGTCTAAAGACAACCATGGACATTTATGAATTGAACTGCGTATGGCCTGTGATTGCAGAAAGAGTTAACCACACACTGTTTTCAGTTTGTCCACTGATGATCCCGTCTGCTATAAAAATCATTATCTGGACTGTAGTCCTCACAGTCTTTCCCTTCTTTTTCTTCTTCCCTCCCCTCATTTTTTATTTTACTGCTGGATTATTATTCTTGTACAGACTGTAAAATGTATTATTTTGTACAACTTTATTGAAAAAAAATAACTTGTAGAAGATCTTTGTGCCTTGATTATGGCTGTACCTGTACAATGAGCTAAGATGTAAGTATGTTTGATTGCGCTGTACAGCTTTGTCAACCCTATCTGCAGCATTAGCTCAAGGTAGGGAAAATTTATCTGTAGTTTAGTTTTTCTGGTTTATAAAAGAAGGAAAAATACTGTTTAGTAAAAAAAAAAAGAAAAAAAGAAAAAAAAAAAGAAAAAAGTACAAATTGTGCAAACTTAACCACTTTAAAAGTGAGGTCTTCAACAAGTGACCAGATGTTGCAGCATCATGCTTTTTAATTTTTAGCTTTAATTCATTTAAATCTCTATCCAAATGCAAAACATGGCTTGTTTCTACATAAACCAAATTTTGCTACAAATTATAAATGTTAGTCTTTGGTCATTCATAGTCCTTTTTGCTAAAGACAAAACCAGAACAATAACAGACAATAGGGCATCATGCAGGTCTGGTGACCATCTCTAGACTGGGCCAAATACCCCACCAACCTCCACTTACGCTGCGTGGGCATACTACTACCAGAATGACAAGGTGTGCACTGCCCTTGGATTTGGCCACTGAATTCCAGTTTCAAATGACATTTTTATTTCTCTTTTAATAAAGAGATACTTTAGAACCTTTTTTGTTTTATATTAACTATATAAGTAGCTTAAAGTGAAGATGTGTGGATTTTTCTTAAACTTGAATAATTTATGCAAATTATATGCTTAGAACAACATGTGGTACAGTAAAAAGAAAAAGAGCAAAAATCACTGTAGCAATAAGAGAGCATGTAATTTTAGTAACTACTACACTGCTTTATATTTTATACCTAGGTGTTTTATGTCTCTGTGAGTGTGTTACTTTTTCATGTGTCTAAACCTACGTGTACAATTTGTACAGAGTCAGAAATTACAGCTGTAATAACACATCTAGAACAGTGTTAGCCTATATTACTCAAACACCCTTGTTCCCCCTTCATTGACACCCCTAAACTGATCTGGATCTTACTACAGTGACTTTAAAAGGAAAACAAAAGAAACAAAAAAACCAAACACCAAAATACTTGCCTCTTTGCCTTTCACACTAGCTTCCCTCCACCCAAGAGACTGTGTTAACTTTCTTTTTTGGGAAGAGGTCCAGTTTAAATTAAAATTATGGTGTGGTCAGTGATGTCTGTGCAGCTAGATTTGCTTCAGGTATCAGATGCCTTTTTAATACTAAGAATTGCAACTGTTCAGAATTGTCAGTTTTCTTTGCTTTTGTGGCTAAACTTAAATGAAAATTTAATCCCCTAGTCATGTAAAGAGCAGGGATTTGATGGAGTTACTGTCTCATCTCTCTTAGTTCAAAATTACTAGTGATCTTCTAGAAGACACTTAAATCGTCTAAAAATTTCAGCTATGGTTGCTACTCATCTTTTTAAAATGATCTTTCCTGTTCACAGGTTTAGAAAGTTGCCACCTGAACTTTGTAGAAGGGTAGGAGAACATGACTGAAAATAGCTCCCTGCAATTTAAGAATGTATTCAGTGCCTGTAGGTAGGTTAAGGGCTGGTGTTTCCACTAGGTAAAAATGGGACACACATAGTGGAAAGGAAGTTCATTGTGAGCCTTAATTTTAATTACAGGAGCCAAAATATTTTATTTAGTGCCAACCCTTATCTTTTTAAGCCTAGGAGGAGTTGGTGTAAACACCAAATTTATAAATGGGGAAAACCTGTAGTGGTGTGAGGAATGTAATCTCTCATCTGAGAGAAACAAAGCACCTCCATTAAAAAAATAAATAAGCTTCTTCCTCTGATAATGAGAAGAATACATAGCAACAATGAGCTATATAAGACAACAGTTTAAGAAATCTAAAGCTTTATATGAACAGAAATGTTTAGGGGATTTTTTTTTTTCTTGAGTGAGGAAAAAGGCAATTGTTTTTGAATATGGTTGAGTTGCACAAGTATGGAGTGTGTGTGTGTCTTAATGTCTCAGTATTGCCTTTGTAAGTCTCTTTATTAGTCCATGCAGTTTGGTGGCCTGGTAAATGCAAGTCTTATTTTAACAGCTTTTTTTTTTTTTTAAATACAAAAACATAAAGCTTTAATGCTTGCTATTTAATAAGTAACTGTGTTTTCTTCTGTCTCTAATTTAGTGGCCATAATTTGCAGTTAATTGAACCATTCCAACCTAATGCTTACCCATACTTCCTAGTTTTGTTTTATTTATTTATTTGAACTTCTTGTTTTAATGACTGAGGACTTTCACTTCTGTCTCATTCATCTGTTTGGAAACTTCTGACCTTACAGCCAAAACTTAACTCATTCTACTCAGTATTCATCGTGATGCTGAAGTGTAAGATACCTGCAAATGTAAACACTACCACTTTTATTAATAAAAGCAAATACAGTGTTTTAGGGCACATTTGCATCACTATAGTTGAGGTTGTGTCAGTATTTCCATTATAAACCCATAGAGGGTCTATATCTTGGCACTAAATTGCCCTAAGCTAAATCTTTGCCATACAAGGCTTCTGCTCAAGCATGATTTGGTGGGTTGGTTTTTAAACCGTTTCCAACACAAACTCTTGTTTCTGTTTTAAGTTATACAACTGTTTTGTTGGATGGGGGTTGGTTTAAAAAAATAACAAAAACAACAAACAAACCTGGTTCAAGATTGTTTTTGGCACTTCTGTAACTCAGAAATGGTTTTGATTTTAAAACATAACCTTTGGCAAGCCAGTAACCTACAATATGGTCTGATCACTTTGGGTATTTTGTAAAAATAATAATAAATTGTAGAGATGTTGTGGTTTCAAAATCAGCTACTGTGCATTTGCAGTAACTTATTTCAACCCAAGAACTTTTAGTAATTTGTACGTCAGTACACACATTCAGCAGCCAGCATGATGCAGCAGAATAGTGATAACTCCTGAAAGGTGGTTGTTTTTTTTTTAATAACGTGGAAAGGTAAATCCACTAGAGACTAAAAAAAGATTCAGCTGCTTCTGAAAGCATCAAGAACTGCTGCCTTAGAGGCTGAAACTGGAGCTCCGTAAGTTGTTAGGAGCGAACTTTGATGCAAAAGCATACAAAGGCATGCTGGATCAGTTGTCATAGGGAAGAGCCCTGAGGGCTTATCTTCATCTATCTAAAAAGTATTTTGAATCATGGCATCAAGGATAGGATTTAACTTAAGAGTATGTCATTAACTCCAGAGGAACTGAAGCTAATTCTGTTCCAGTGTGTTGCACATAATTGATACCTGCAGGATAATTTTCTTTTACTAGTAAATCTATGCACAGAAATATTAATGTTCATCACTTTAGAATCTGAGCACCTTGTAACTAGTTGTGGTGCAATATTCCTGTAAATTATGTAGGATGTTTTGTATTATATCCTATTTTCCAATGTCAAAATTTACATACCAGGAAAAACAAAAGATACAAACATGATCACATGGTAAATTCACCACAGATACGGAGATAGACCCCATGTCAGCTGAGTACCAGTCCAGTGCCTTAGTGATAATACTGTTGGTGATTGGTGCTATACAAATGTCTAAGACTGATAAAGTTGTTGTAAGTTATAAAATTATGTAAAATATTCTGGAAGAGTAAGTTCTCTTCTTTCCCCAACTGTATCTAATATTCTATGTGTATTTCTAACAATGCTGGCACTTGTAAGATCTCTTCCGTAGATGATCAAATTTCTACTAAATATAAGAAGCAGGATCACGCCATAGATTACTATCAGTGGAAATCTCACACAGGAACAGGTCCTCATCCCTAAAATACATGTTAAATTGTAACAGTAAAAATATTTACAACCAAACATCTGTTTGTAGTCCAAACCCAAAACTGTACCCTTCTTCCTCAGCTTGAAAATTCATCCATTGGGAAAATTCTTTCTGTTCTATGACAAACTTTGAAGTGTCTTTGTGAATAAAATAAGCTACAAAGGGGATTTCTGAACCTCTGCTGATGAAAGCCGTTACACTGAAAAATCTGGTGACTGACAAGATAGAAATTCCTAGAGTGATCCTATTTTAACCCTGGTCATAACCAGTTAGCTTAAATACTGTGAGTGGATGTGTTTCAGTTACTAGGTAGGTAAACTGCTTTAGAGTATTTTACTGTATTGCAGAGATTGCTAAAATTTCAGCCATGAGTACTGGCTTCATAATTAAATTGTTTTCAACCCTGATTCTCATCTTATTAAAAGTTGAAACTGCTTTTTACCCTGTCTTTTAATGTACTGAGCTGAGCAAAATGGGTCCAGTTTAAAGCATAAGTCTACTTGGAAAAGCAACTTGGGAGGAGGAGAGAAGGCAAACTGATCTCTCGCTGCATTAAATATAAAAAATAATAAGGTGGGTTGGTTTTTTTTCTAACTTCTGGGTCCTATAAACTTAGCCTGGTTCTGTGAAAAAAGAAGTAGGGAATGCTTCTCTAGATTAACAACAGCAAGTGTTCACTGATACCTCTGCAACAAGGGGTAACTGACCAAATATGTAATACATCATTTTAAGAAAAACAAACCACCAAACCAGAATTTGCAGATTTTCCTGTTTTTTTTTCACTTAGGAAGTCCACCTCAAAAATCTTTAATGACAAGACAAAACAAGGCCTTTAAATGTTGTCCCAAATACAGAAAGAATGATAACATTTTTGAGGGAAAAGATGCTGATGTTAGGGTTTTTTCTGTAACATAACATGCTTTCTAAGGATGGGGTATCAGTAGACAAATGTAAGCAAATTCAAAATTAAAATGTGAATGTATCTCCTCTTTAATTTAGCCAGTTGTTTTATTAAATGAGTTTCCTAATACCTTTTTTAAAAATTTTAATCTACTACTACTAAAGTTTGGAGAAAAAAAACTTAGGACAGAGGTAGCAATGTTGGGAGTTCTCTCAGTTCTGTTATGCAAACTAATGTTTTTAGGCTGTGGATTTGAAGTGAATTATTAATAGTGAAGTATAGTGTTTCTGTTTGTAGTTTTCTGGTATTTGATATGAGTGGAATTGTGTCATTCTTGCAACTAAAATGCTAGAGTGTCAGCAGAGATCAGAGAAAGGAGCTGCTGTATAAGGGTTATGAATTACTACATCGGGCTTGTGACTGTAAGGCTACTTGGAAAGGGGGCCCATTCTAGTTCTTTTTTACTACGTTATCAGTTTTCTGTTCACATGATCAGAAGAGCTTCCATAAAAAAAAACAAATGAAGGGGTTGGGTGATAGAACCAAATACATGTCTGTGTAAGACCTCAAAGTACTAATGAAAGGTATTTTAAACTTGTGTTAAGCTAGAGCCATAGTAGACAGCATGTCTTTCCTGAAGTGTGTGTGTGTGATGATTCAGATGTATCTCAGTATCTTTAATCTCCATTCTCTTTTTGCTTGAAGGCAGAACATCCAAAATGAAGTAGTAGATTTCATGAAAGTTTTGGTGCTAACCTTGAGTTCTGTTTCCCACAGGGCAAAACTCTGCTGGGCTACAAAGGTTCATCTGTGTAAGACAGTCTGGAAGCCCAGTGCTGCCACAAGCAACGGCTCTTGTTAACCTATTTGTGATTTAAAACTGGGGAGCTTACAACCAAGTGTTCTGTCCAACATCATGACCCAAAAACTGCTGCCTTTGGACTCAGCTACTTTTTTCCTGTCCTCACCCCACCTACTCTTACAACGTATATGGTTGATAAGAGAGAATAGAGCAGCTATGAAACTAAGGTATGAGAGACAACCTCACTGAAAGTTCAGAGGAACTAGGGAAAGCTAGATAAACAAGACTCCTAAATCCATCCCCTTGGACAGTGAAAAATATATTTATGGGGGAAGTTCTTCATTCCCCAGGTAAGTGACCCAGTTTGGGATCCTTATACAAATTTTCAAGGTCAGAGATGTGTTTATCTAAAAGGCCAGGGTATCTCCAATTAAGGAACTGCAAAAAATGCACTTACTACATACACTACAGAACTGGGAGATACTTCAGTGAAGTGTAAGATTAATTATCAGTATGCAAATCAACTGGAACTTGCTTTGAAGCAAGAAAATGTTTCCACTACAGGCTCATCTTGAAAAGTGCTTGGGGCATTGTGAGACTGTGCTTTTAAGCAATCCACAGAATACAAATACAGTTCCAACTTCTAAGTTGATGTTCGAAGGAGACTAGAATGACATTATGTTGGCAACATAAAAACCACCTTGTTTTGTCTCAGAATACTTTTCAGTTACCTAGCAAAGTGTCATGATGTTAGATGTCTGGAATAACACTGTTACCAGTAATTGTGAATCTCAAGGTACAAACAAAAATGCTTAATCTTGAGGTTCTGCTTGAGAAGGAAGAACTCTCTAGCCAAAACTCATTAGCCTAACTTGATGCTGCTGTAATTTCCTACTTGATTTGAAAGTAATTACCTTTTCTCTAGTTGAATGTATTGGCTGATTTGTAAAGGGCTAACGATTACAAAATAGAAATTTATGCTGAAAGAATTTGTAGAGGGCAAGGAGCAGAGGTAATTAGCATACAGAGAATGCTAAGGGTGGATATTTTTAAAACCCATATGAATAAAAGGCAAAGAGTTTTGTTGGAAGTCGGCTCTTCTGTTTGGGATTTTTCTTTTGGAAGGAACCAAATGAAGTTGGATGATTTCATCAGCTGTATTATATCCATCCCTTTAAGTAGGAAATCTTGAAGCATAGTTGTGAAGTAATCTGCTCAAAAATAATGCAACGAATGTTGATAGTTGGCTGGAATTGAAACTTGAGCATTTGATACTTGGTTTATTGTTTAATTCCTTAGAAGAGCCTTTCCCAACCTTTATGAAACCCACCTTCACTTCTGTTTTAAAAAAAGGTAAAAAAAAAGAAAAAATAAGGTAGTTTTCCACTTTTCTCTAGATCTGGCTCTTCTTCACAAACATCTACTTTCCAGAATGCCTTTACTGCTTCTTTAAAGGCTCTTCAAAGCAGACTCCAAGGCTGGCCTTCATAGAATATTTACTGGGCTCAAAATTTTATCTTTAATATGCTCACTGCCTCATCAAAATCTCATTAGACGGGAATTGTGACTCAAGAATATTTTACACACAAAATGCAGTCAAATAGTCATTTAGGGGAAAACATGTTCCATTCATTTGCTGGATAATAAAATCTTTCAGGGACATCCAGGTAAATCTAAGTTCTTTTATTCATTAATACTTCACTTTTGTAAACACAAATCCATATGGGAAAACACAAGTTAAACCCAAGAAGACAACCAACATTATTTCCATTCAAAGTTGTAAAAAGTTCAGTTTGCAAAATCAACTGGTACATTTAGTGTTCCATCACAGTTTAAATGATACCTTGAAACTGTTGGTTTTGATCTGACTTTGCCTCTTGTTTATTGACATGAAGTGGGGAAGGCTTGGATATTGCAATTCTTCTGCAAAAGGGCTATTCAGCAAATGTCTGGCTCTGTTATAGGTTGCATTTTTCTGTTAGTGCAATCAAAATAAAAAGATAAATATGTAAAGACAAGAGAACTTCTAGTTTAAAGATTCAGATACTGAAATTATTAGTATCTTTCATGTCTAATCACACTGTCTTTGTGGACTGTTCCCTTTTCAACTAAGCAGTAAGTTTCATAGCGTAATTACCACTGAAGTCCCACATGTCCAGCTGCTGTCATTAGACCTGCTCTGAAATGCTTTACTGAAGCTAAGTTGTACTATTTCAGGCCATAAGCTCTGGGCACAATGAAATTCTCCAGCCTGCAGATCCAAATATCCTACCTAGGAGATGCACAGCAAATTTCAGTCATGGGAAGGAAGCCTCTCCTATCTGTATAAAAACATCTGTCATACGAAATCTATTTATTTGAGCCTTCTGTAAAAAACTAGGATCTCCTCCTAAGCCTTAAAAAGTCTTTGTTTTTCAATCCACATTTTCATTAGTATGTTATGTTCTGGACTCAGTTCTTCTCCAATTTTAAATTTTCTAAACTTCCTGATAGGGTAATATCATAGTTACTCTGAAATCACCTACATCTTGTAACACTGTACATCATTACAAGAAAAAAAAAAAAAAAAAGCTGATGAAGCACAGGAGGTGTATAGATATTTCTTATTTCTCAGGAGATACTTTTTCTTTCTTGGTTTGAGATAGACTAAATTCAGATCTGGTATTTTCTTGGGAGTTTTGACTGGTTAATCAGACTGTCTTTTCTGAGTATTGCTATTTTCTCACATCTGTGAGATGGAAATTGCCCGCTAACTAAATGGAGATAAGCCAGAAACTTTTTCTCAAGGATATTTCCATTGGCCTCCAGCCTCAGCTTGTAACTTCACTCCCAGTTCTTTCCTCATAAAAAATGGCCAGAGCTTCCCTAAGTGTTGAAATGTTACCTTACTGTCTTCCTGACTGCAGGCAATCAAGCAATTGTCTAGCATGGGTAAAGAATGTGTCCGTTGTGCCTCTACTTCAAACCATGCCTTTTATTCTGAAAAAGTCTATTTTCCTTTCTGTTGACAGAGCAAAAAGAACATTATCCTGGGCTCATAAAAATGTTTAAGACATGTTTCAGAAAGGGTTGCTTCACCACTGTAGGGCAGCAGCTGACAGCACAACTCATGCTGTGCTGCAGTTCAGGTGGTGGTGTATATTTTAAGCTCAGTGAGCCCTTCTAACACTGACCACACTTGAACAAGGACTGTGTCTCTTGTAGATCCTATGACAATTTACTTCTGAACAGGGTTTTTTGGCATTTCCTACCAAGTGATTTCATGGACTGCATGTAATTTCTTACTGTTTTTCAGTTAGAAAATAAATGAAAATAAAGGACCTTTTAAATAATTAATCAGCAATGCTCTTGGCTGCCCTCCAGATCCCCAGAACACACACTCACCCTCCCCTTTCTCACAGTTAAACTCTTACACAACTGAAGAACAGGCGTCAATCTGAGGAGAGACAAAGGGACTCTGTTTCTCTCACGTGGACTCCATTTCAATAATGTCTATCTCTTTGCCTAAGGTCAGATTGTATGATCAGTTTTCATTTTAGACTTAACTCCTCTTCATTTGTCTCTAACTTCCTAGTCCCTCCCTTCACTGAGGGCCCTCTTGGCCTCTTGCCTTCAGTCAGTGCCCCAGGTCCGCAGGTCTCCTTTGGGACCCTCTCGGCACCCTCTAGAAGGGCTACCCTAAGGTCCTGCAGTTAGCACAACCACTGTTCTGGGCAATCTGTGCAGGGGTAACAGATCCTGTGTAACAGGCTATCTATCCTGCATGGTTAGGGACAGCCCAAGAGCCTTGGAAACAGGGGGCTTGGCTCACGCAAGGACAGACCTGTCTGCTGCCCAGAAATGAAACTGCTAACTGTAATGCCGATAGTGTTATTTATAGGGACTACAGTTGGGTTATTTTTTTCAAAGACTTAAGCATTTTGTCTTAGGCTAAAAAGACACCACCACCCCCCCAAATTTGTTTGCAATGAGAAAAGGCAGAAATGTCATTTAATATTATTCTCCAGCAAGTTCTGGGTACGGAGTTACACACCAATGCTAGTCCTAAAACTTTACCACTAAAATCTGGTCCTAAAAAAATCTTCCACCAAAGTTATCTTTCCTGTTCTTTAACTTTTTTCCTACTTGTTAGTTTTTCAGTTCTACCATAGCATTTGATCATCGCCGTCAGCTTGTCGCTATCATTCAATATCCTCTTCGAGATCCAGAAAGCGAGAGGAAACTGCCGTTACTCAACTGCAGCCAGAAGAGCAACACATCCCATTTTTTCCTCTTCCCTTGCAATCCCCGACTAATTGCTGCTGCGCTGAGAGGCTTTGGGAAGTTTGCTTTTAAGTTTCCGTTGGCTTCTTTTCCCCTCTGACTTTATTTTTTCCCCTTTGCGTGCTGTCTTCTGCCTGGCTCTCCGGCAGGGACTAACCGGGGCCGAACTGCTTGAACCGGGACCGAGCGAACCTGCGCCTCCCCGGGAGCCACCGCCACGCCGCCAGCTTTTAGGTTTCCGCTTTTCGTGTTTACCTGCTGGCGTTCAGGGATGGTTATTATTTCAGCTGGGTGCCTACTGAGGTCCATTAGCTTTTACACACCAGTTAAGGTTGTCAATTGCTGGGACTGAAAATACATGAAGAAATACTTAGGTTTACTTAAAA